GGTCAGCCACAGGACGCCAGCGCATACAGAGAGACCATGGGTGGCTTTCGCTACATCACCCACAGTTTCATCCACACACCGCATATCCCGTGTAAACCCGAGGGAATAAGACCAGGAGACATGTGGATGGGAGGCACGTTTCATCAACCGAGCCGGCCCACACTCCTTCACAGGCAAACACAAGCACGCTGTATTTGGGGAATCAAGCGCACGCAAGGCGGTGGCTGGACCGTAGTCTGCTCCACACTGAGTGCATGGAACCGCTCTTCGAGCCTAGCACAGCCACAAAAACCGTGCACCCAGTCCCCTCCAGCAACGACCAACTGTCTCCTGGAGCCACCATGGATGAGGTAGTGGGTACTAGACAGGTAGGCAGCTTGTCAGCATACATATCAAGCGCAGCCACACCGAAGATACCAACTAGTTTAAATGACATTATCAAATAAAGTAGATTTATTTAAGCATACGGCTACGCCAACACACCTCTACGCTAAATTAGCATATGAAATAAGTTGGTTAGCAAAAAACCCGTGATAATTACAAAATGATTAGAAGTTGTTCAACAATGCCAAAAAGGCAATAAAGTCAACGAAGCTAACCATAATAAGTGTAAACAGCGAGTACAAGTTAATAGAAGAAATTTCAGGCAGGCAGAACCAACCAAATAAAGTGGAATATTATTTATCCAGCTTAAAAAGACCAAGTTCATGATGCTCCTCCACCGCAGTTGAGCCGATTCATGGCGAGATCCTTACACATGTTTAATTGGCTGGTTGTAACACAGTAACTCTCTTCTCAGTGGTTGTGTAAAAGCCGGACGGTTAAATTGTTTGTTGAGTCTGTTACCGCCTGGTTGACTACAGATACATATCCTACTTATTTCTGTTCCCTTCTTGATACAACAGGTGAAGTTTGAAGAAGTAATCAGGATGGTAAGTGGGCTAAGATATTGCAAAAGCACCCAGACCTAGATATGAAAACGATTAGTGTCCTCGACCAAAAGCTTTGGCTTGAAAGCCTGTTTGCAAGTCAGCGGATGTGTCAACGATTCGGTTTTACAGGAATGGGCGCCATCCCATTTCAAACCCCCAACCTGCAGGACCAAGAGACTGAGTTTGTCAGACCTCTAACCATTGGCAAAAAGGAGTACTCATAAGAGGCCCAAGGGCGCCACCCAGTATAGCTTAATCGGTAGACGAGGTACGCAAACCTTCGCACCACGTCAAGGTCCACCCTCGTCGTGACGGGGTCTTTTCCCTCACTAGCATGTCATCCTCGGCCTTTTCTCACCACAGCTGAGGACTTCCTAGTCCGCCGCGAGCTCGGACAAGGAGTAGGATCGTCTCGTATATAATTTTTTCAGACTTCGCTCCGTCCAAAACAATCTCACAGTTACTGTCACCGGCAAGTAGTGCCGGTGTTGCTCTGTGAATGCACTCAGCTGATTTCTTCGCTGCGCAAATAGGAAAACGGGTATCCTGCTTCTCTGAGACGTCACGGTTGATAACCGCAGCATGGGAGGTTCAAAAGGTGGTAGCTGAACTAAATGATTTGACAGTCAATTTGTGTTAGATCATAGACATGGAAAGTGGTGAAATGCCCATGTCTCACAAACGCTGTTATGTGTTTTATGCGCAGGCGAGAATAAACCACAAATGCGAAGACGCCTCGAAGTGTATAAGGACATGGTTTTAATGTACCTCCGAACACTAACGGACGGATTTCCGGACAACAGAGGATTAGCGGTTCCCATTAGGGTAAACAACACAGCTGTATGAAGATAATGCATGGTGTAGTAGTAATACTTAAACCATGTAATATATCTCCCGAACTATCCTTCTGAGTCAAGGGATTCGCCTGCCATAATGTCATGGTACATCCGCGTAGGAGTGGGCGTCCTCGCGGTATACTCAGCCCGCGCGCGACTGGTGGTGGTCGCGCAGCAGCGAAGCGCCGTTACGGTTTACAGTTGACACATCATCAATGTCATAGTACAGTCCTTTTGACATAGAAGAGAGCGAATACGAGGTGACCCCAAGTTTCAAGTTGAGACTATGACGTTTTATGCTGACAAAGTAGATTGCAAGTATCACCCTTTGGCAGTGGTAATCAAGCCAAGTTAGGTCAACAATGCGCTTTATGCACTCATGATGAGTGAATATTAAGCTCCAACAAACACGCTAACACCACAAATAAAATAACAACAAATGTATATGGTGCGCCACCAAGTTGAAAAGGTGGCAGTGATGATATCCTCGATTCAGTCTAGCAATAAGGTTATGTTTGACTACATCTTGATCCCTCAGAAAACGTGACAAATAGGGAACAACAGACATACCGTAAGCCCGTGAGCGGGCATAAATGACTTTGTACGTTTGTCTGGCTGAGGACGCTGAGATACATTCCGACAATGCACAATGAAGAGGGTGAATGGCATCAGTGATTATCTTGGAAGCCAGTTTTTCGCAATAGCGAACATGATCGGACACAATGATGTCAGTAAAACTAATACAGCAATCCCGATGCATCGAGCAAGATGCTTCAGCAACCGGCTGATCGCTGTGAATTACCCGTTTAAGTGTCCAGGAGATATCACAGGCGAGCAATACGTCCAGTGCAATATTACGAAAGTGGTGACAAACTGTAAAATCAAGTAACGAGGCACGGATAAAGACCTAAGTCGGGGGACAGAACGTCAGTCTCCTAACTTTAGTGAACGCTTCATTCATGTGATATGACCACGTGAGATCCCGACTTAGTGTAACTCCGAGATATTTCACTAATATACATGAGTTCAGACTAATATTGCGGGGTGTGCGCCAGGAGCTGTTGATAACAATTTTCCTTGGACGACTAGAAAAGAACATCTTTACACTTTGATGCATTGTGTGAAAGACAGCGGGATTTGGACCAAGAGGTGAGGTTGTTCAAGAAGTACTGTAAATTGTAATGTGATTGGGTACACCAAGGATCACGTCATCAGTGTACTTCAGTAGGATGGCTTCCTTTGGGGCGGAAATGAAGTTAATGTAGGTGGAAAATAGGAATGGGGACAAAATAGCTCCCTGAAAACACCTGAATTGGTGATAAGTGAGAAGGAGGTTTTCCCCAATCTTGGTAAAATGCGTACGATTGGTAAATAGTCTGTAAGAAAAAGTACCAATGAAGATTGAACTCCCGAGAATAGCAAATTGTGTAACAGCAGCTAGCGGTTTACACAACCGAAAGCATTGTTGTAATCTAGGAAGCAAATCCACGTGGGTTTGTTTTTCTATCGAGTGATGAAAGCACGAAGTGTACAAGACAGGCTAAAGTGGACCTTGAACTGTGATAGGCGAACCGAAAAGTATCACGAGTGAGTTTGGACAAGCGTTCTTTCCAGTATAATTCGTTCAAATGTCTTCAAAGCCACAGACATGGAAGCAATGGGCAGGTATTTTCAAGTTCCTTTTTTGGTACAAATGTAATGCGGGCGCTTCACCCAGCAGTCAGCTATCTTGTGTTAACGTAACCACTTGGTGTACAGTTGAGAAAGTTGTGCACATTTCTTGAGGACACTGATATCGCTCGCAAACATCGCTCGCCGGTCGGAATTCGCTGCTCCTACCTTTTCGTCGTTCTTGAATCCAGTTCTTATCGCATATTCACCCGAGTACACTCATTCGATCAGGCTTGATCGGGCGTACACAGTGCGCAAATTTCCTGGACTGTATTCCTAACGGATAATCGCCTACTGCTGATTCCCAATTTCTGCTGCGATCAGGTGTAAACGGAAGTGGACAAAATCAACGCTTTTGTTACTTCGATCGCGGTTCGAATAATCACTGGAAAGCATATCACGAGGCCCATCCATCAAAACCGATTCCAGCCAAATCGGTAGTTTTGTAAAGCGGCTACCAACACTTGCATCTTCTCCCTGCTTTCGCCAAACGACATAGCGAACCCGAGGACTATCACCCAAGTCAAACTTCCGTGCGGACCTATCCTACCGGTCAATCGCCGCACCCTTTGTCGGATTGAACTGTACGTGTGCGCCCACCAAAACCGACGGATTGACGCGTCGGGACACGGCACAGAGTTGAACTCAGAGTGGACGTGTGCACAGGACGACTGACTAACAAAGAACGCCTTGGTGCACTTTGTGATTACCGACCTGGTTGGTTTGTATCGACCTTGTGACACAGTAACCATTTTAGTCCAGTTTAATAACCGGTTTATCTTATCTGAGATCACAAGCCCTGAACTCTAGCGGCTAATCACAAGATGCTCGTTAGCAACGTTAAAACGAGAAGCTCCACCATTAGCACAATGAATGAAGAGAAAAGCATTAAAAAGCTCGCAAATCTCCCAGCTTATAACCAATCTGTAAGCAATGATGAAACTAAAGCCTCATGTTCTGTTAGTATACCTGCCATCAAGTGTCGATTACCAAAGCGTAAAGTGACTGTTAAAACTCGCAAAGCACCGACAACTTCTAAAACTGCGAGACCTTATAATTCAGCAGAAGGAAAATTATGCCCAGCTGCTCTGCCGTTTCAGCCTATTAACTTGCAAAACATCCAAGATGAAGTCACCCAGCTTAAAGTGAAAATGTTGTCGATAGATAGTTCTCTGACTGTCCTCCGTGAACTGGAACCTATAACTGCCCTAATGCAAAAGACGTTGAGTCCCAAAGTAGAGCATATGTTACCCGCAGGTTCTCTTATCGATTCCATCGCAGCAGAAGTAGTCTCTAGGATGCATCGTTCTAGAAATGCAGTTGTTTTTAATGTCCCGGATAATATTCCGCCTGCAGCCTTGCGAGATATATCACTTAAAGCTGCTAACATGGTTGGCACGGAATGCAGTTGCATAAGACTCAGAAAGAAAGTCCAGCGCTACTCGTGTCCAATCCTATTCCAATTTAATAACGCTTTAACCGCTAGTGAGTTTATAAGCAGACGTGATCTAATTGCTGCCAACACTACCTTTAAGACCCTGAGAGTAATCGCTGACAGAACACCTTTACAAAGATTACTCCTGCATGGAGATTCTGACCTTATCTCTCGACGCGACTCGTTACCCTCAAATGGGGTCACATCTACAACCGTTGCTAGTCTCGTTCCCAACTGCCAAACTGACACCCCAACATTAAGGTTACCTACACACGATGACACCCATAACCAGTCCATAAGTATAATATGCCCCCTCGACTCTCCACTAACAACGCTACGTGCAGCGGATAATTTAGAGCCTATGATTTTTAAAACAAAGCACCACCGTCGCTATCAACCTGCGACATCGCATCCAGGGGACAGTTATGTACAGCAGCCACAGATCACTAACTCCCTTGTCGATTTAGACTTGACCAGCATTGTGACCAGAGACCTGACTGCTTTCCTTGACGACGAAAGACCTAGAGCAATTGATACGCAGCAAACAAACGAGCCACTAGCTGGAGACAAAAATCCGGTATCTAGCAATCCATCTTCACTGAACGAGGGTTCTTCTGATCCTACCACCCAAAATCTTGACTCGGCTGATACTCAGGATCACCCTATTTCCCACAAACTTACAGCCACACCTGCAGTTCTCGTGGTTAAACCAGTTCAAACCCCATCGCCCAATAAAATTGCCGCCTGCCCCATAAGGCCAAAGAAACCATTAGTTTACAGTCTCCTTGCTTTCAATATTCCTGACTCTACTGATCTTATTGACGTCGTTACAACTTTAGGTAAAGTGGCTAATGTGAAATCTCATATGTTTAATGCTATTAGAGTGCCCAAGAGGATACAGGCCTACCCAGCACCAGTCAGATTTACCTCTGTCGACCAGCCCACGTTGGAATCGCTTGTTAGTAAGCTAAGTGCCATTCGAACAGTTCCTTACTTATCAAACATTTACTTCAGTAGGTTACTTGCTCGACCCTATGTTTCTGTCCACCCGAAAACGTCTGCTGCATCCATTCTTGGTGCACCATGTTTACCTATTGACCCTTCCCGCAATGGCAATCCTACTTATATCCCTGATAGACTGAATGAGCAGTCTTTTTTTGTAGACCTGGGGAGGAAACTCAGTGTCATCCCTCCCCAACAAGCCTTCAACCTTTTTCTGAACTTTCTCAGAAGTATTCAGACTTAAATTTGGTAGTTATTCCTGCACCATCATCCATTTCCATTCCAGCTCAAAATTACCCCACTCCTTCCACCTCAACTTATGATGACACATCGTCAGATATTTACCCCAACTTATTCAACCAGTTAGCGTGTCTACCTATCCAGTCACAATCCACTAAATCGCTTCTCTTCAATGCTCGCTCACTTCGAAATAAGATGCCCACTCTTCGCTCCATGGTGTCTCTCTTTCAACCTGACTTTATCCTAGCTACAGAGACATGGTTCACAAGCGAAACTCCGCAGTCTTGCTATCACATTGATCAATATCATAGTTTTCTCGCGTGTCGAACCTCAGCACCTGGTGGCGGTTGCATCATTTATGTATCAAATAACTTCCAAGCATCACTGCTGTGCGCTTCCCTTCAAGACAGCGATATTGACAGCATAATTGCACATGTTACTCTAGGTAGAACCTCGATGGTTTTGGGTTGCATTTACTCCCCCCGAATCCCAGTACGGATGACTTACGAACATTGGAACGCTTGTTTTGCTACTTAGCAGAATTACCAGTTAAATGTAAAGTATTAGGAGGAGATTTCAATATGCCTGATATTGACTGAAGATCGTGCGCCGCACCTACTAAATATTCGAGACTGATGTCTTCTTTACATATATATGGATGGACACAACATGTCCATTCACCCACCAGGGGAAACCACACTCTCGATTTATTCCTTACACTAGGCCTATCCAACGTTTCTGCTGTTGTTCTAGACAATTTCCCTGGAAGCGATCACAAGATGGTCCAACTCACCTTCGATAAGCCATTTTCTGATCCTACCCAGACTAAACCTGCCGTCCTCTACCGACCATACAATTTGTTACACATGGAATCGCTTTCCGCCCTTCTGAGATCCTTGCACTGGGAAAATTTCTTCCTAACCAATGATCCACAAGTGGCAGCTGATGAGTTCTACAAGAACATTGAGATGTGTCTATATGCTCTAATACCACTGAATTATTGCCGTCATTCCAGAAAAATAAAATTAGAGTCCACCCCCGATAATTTTTCACGCAAACTTACACGACTCCGAAATTACTACTTGAAAACAAATGGCTTCTCCCTAGTATTGCTACAACAAAAAATCCTTGCTCAACTTGACAGACTTCGGCATATCAGCCTTATGGACGTAGAAAGACGGGCGCTAAATAGCATGAATAAAAACCTAGAACACACCAAGCTGATGAAATATAGAAACAAGAATACGGAAACCCCATCCATCCTGATTTCTGGTAACCAAATAACTAACAATCCAGCTAAAATAAGCAGGGATTTCAATAATTACTTTTGTTCTACTTTTAACACCGCTGCTGCGGCTCCCTCGCACATTATCCCTCTGCTTACTGATGACAAGATCTGCACAGTTGATTTTGAACTTCGTGATATAAATCGAATTATCACCTCTACGAAGTCATCATGGTATGCCGGACCTGACAAATTACTACCAACGCTTATAAACTACGGTGGATCTGACTTCCCTGTACTACTTTTGAATCTTTTTTCTCTATCCATGAACACCGGTACCGTGCCATCACAGTGGAAGACGGCTGTAGTCATTCCTCGCTACAAGTCAGGCTCTGTGCATGAAATGAGCAACTACCGCCCAATAAGCCATACTTCTATCCTCTCTAAAATGATGGAGCGTCACATAAAGTCCAAAACTGTGGACTTCATGATGTCGCGAAATCTTATCAACACCTCACAACACGGCTTCCTAAGCACGCGATCCTGCATAACATGTCAGATAGACTTTCTCAGTCTCCTGACTACTTCGCTCGATGACGGTTCATCAGCGATAGTCATCTACCTCGATATGCACAAAGCATTTGATCGTGTCCCTCATAACCACCTCTTATCCAAACTAACTGCATATGGCATAGACAACCCTCTGCTTTCATGGTTTGATTCTTACCTAACTAATAGAACCCAGGTTGTTCAGATCGAGCACGAAACAAGCACGCCAAAGCCTGTCACCAGTGGTGTGATACAAGGTAGTGTTCTGGGACCCTTTTTATTCCTACTTTACGTAAATAATATTTTTGATGTCTTTGCCTCCGGCAAACCTTTCCTGTTTGCCGATGACATCAAAATTGTTTACACTTTTAATCCAACTGAGGTCAGTGATACGCTTAGCGAAATCCAGCATGACTTACGCACACTGGACTCATGGAGTTCCAAATGGATGATGACATTCTCTACTGACAAATGCCACGTGGTATCCTACAGATGTGACATCACACCAGGTTCGCTAACTATAGATGGTAAACCATTGTCTCACTGCCACACTATCCGTGACCTAGGGATCCACTACTCGAGCACCCTTAACTTTTCCGAACAGGCAGGACCTACCGCAGCTCAAGCCCGCCGAAGCATTGGGCTTTTGTTCAAAACATTTAACTTAAAAGAATCCATTAACACCATGTATAGAATAAAAACGCGCCCGCTGCTTGAATATGGCTCCATCACCTGCTGTAATTCTAGAGTGAGTGATCGCATGGCATTGGAACGTGTTCAACGATCATTTACTAAGCGTCTTCTAGGCTATTCCACCACCCTATCTTACATGGATCGTTGCGTTGCCTTAAAACTTGACCCACTGTGGCTGCGAAGAATGAAACTTAACCTTTTCATCTTTTTTGATACAATTACCCAAAAAATACATTCTTCACGCCCATCGGTACAACGAGCAGAATTATCAAATTATCGCACCCGAAATAACAATCACAATAAAGTAAAGGTGAAAAGATCACGAACGAAACTGTCTGACAACTTTTTCCTAAATCGATACTCCATATTGTGGAACAGGCTTCCATCTGAGATACGTGCAATCCAGTCAGGGATGAAGTTCCGACACGTTATACATTCCTTTCTAAACGTCGAAACAGCGATCGGTATATTGCAATCTATCTTGACAAGTGAATCCCCGTACGAAATAGGAGCAAGATGGATATAGTGTCAATATCAAAGGATCTTTTCATTCTCCTGTTGCCCGATCTTACTGCCCTCCCCAAATTTATCAGTAGCAATAACATGTTTTCTAAAGGCAAAAATATCCTGATTAACAATGAAGTTCACACTCACCAAGACGGAAATGTGCCCTAGAGTTCCTCTCGAGCAAATTATTTCGCATTTGTTCTGCAACGCTAATTATTTTCTACTTATCTTTTCCCCTGGACCCCTCCCTTAGGTACGAGCTGCTGTGTTACGTGCTCAGCGAAATCAATGTTGATTTAATCCTTCTGCTTTTGGACTGGATCCATTTGATAACACCTTCCGAAAACCTACCATGATCTTCCACGCTTACATTCACTCTGAACAAATCCCCTCAACGAAATCAGCTTCTCCTCTTACCGCACACAGCTGAACAGTTGGAACGACAGTTAACTTACTTTACTTTGCGTACAGTTTTCTCTCCCTCCCTGAAAAATACCATGCGTACATACAACATTTCTCAGTACCATACAAAATTATTTCGCATCACCAATTTTCCCATTTTGATCTCCGACAACTGCTGGAGCTATCTTACTATTTCCTCCGAAAATTCTTCTACTTTTCTGTAAAAAGCATGTATATTCCTGAGGTTATCAGTTACCAGTGAAACTTGTACAATCTGAATCGAACAACGTCGGACGAAAATCTAGCATTTCACGTTACTGTACGTCCACCCACTTTTATTTGCTTATTTCTCTCCTTCCAGTGTTTGCCAGGATTGGGCCGATCTCCCGAGGCTATGGATAAATGCTTCCGAAAAAATGCAGCACACTCATGCAGTATGAGTTACCACAAACTCACTGGCACATATTACAAGTGCTTGATTCTAATCAGCCAAATGATGGCTGTGCGATGGGGAGAGCTTAATATGAAACACAGGCCCCCACAGTACAGTGCTGGAATTGAATCAGTTAAAAGAAGGCTGTATGATGGGGAGAGGTTTTCATTGAACACAGGCCCCCACAATAGTGCTGGAAACAAATCAGATAAAAGATGGCTATACGATGGGGAGAGCTTAATATATATCACAGGCCCCCACATAACTGTATACATATAACGCCAAAATAGCACATGGCCAGATGAGATGTGGAAGAGAAGTGTGGAAGCAGGTCTCCGGGAGACGGTTTCATGATGGGTCGTATTACTCCAATTAAACTGACAGTTTATATCCACTTTTATTCCTACTCTCAACTTCTACTACTCCTACTCACTTACTATTTTTAATTGATTTAGCACTGAAACATTCCTATGTGAACACAATAGATCACTGAATATCCCTCTCCACTACCTGACTTTGTTGTACCACATGATCAGGCTCGTACTCTGCCTGTGTCTCGCACGTCGAGAAATATATCATTTATTTATTTATTTAGGAGATAGTTCGTCCAGACCGGGCGTTTTGCACGACTGTATCCGTATTGATTCCTTGTGAACTCTTACACTATCTATGGATGGTGAAGACTGTGGGGAGAGTTGCAGCGGTAAAGATGGTAAATGCAACGCTGAATCATTTATATGACCACAGAAGTTGCGGTTTAATTCCTTCACCTCGAGAGTAGTGTGTGACACAGCTGACGACTCCACTCAGGTTCTTCATAATTTTCCATATTTCTCGGCAATTATTCTTTCCAAGTATACTTTGGATATAAATATGGTTGAGGCGGCCCATCTCATTTTTTATATCAGCCGATAAGGAGTTTACTGAAGTGGCGCCTTTGCGCTTGTAAGCTTTTACCTTGAGTCTGCGCAGTCTTTTAAGGCACGGAGATGAACACCTATCTGCGCGAATGTATGTATGTATGTAATCTCAGCAGTCTAGCAACTAGACAAAGAGCCAACAGAAAACCATGGAGATCAACGGATAAGCAAGTCATCGCGTCATAATCATCGTGGGTTGCTAGTTGAAGGTGAGCAACACGCTTCAGATAATATGCCGCAGGGAGAATGGAACATTGTGACAAATAGTAGAACAAAACATTTTAGTTCGTTTTTCACACGCCGATTTTCCTCTTTTTTCTCATTTTTAATGTTGGTAGTATTAGACATGTGAACCAATGTAATACTGTACACAATTCTTCCACTGATTTCGGTTGCGGGCGATGTCTTCAAGAGTGTTAAGCAATCGGCACTCCTTATCTTTGAGTCCCCATCCTGGAAGACGTACAGGTCCAACAACGGCTAGGCACGTCAGCGATTTCAAGTGCTGCCGCCAAGTGGAAGACTGACCACCACGCAGTCGCCTCCAGCCAGGTCCTTGACCAGCGAATAGAGCGCGACGCGGTAGACGCTCGGGTGTCATGCGTAGGACGTGACCAAGCCATCTTAACCGGCGCAACAAAACCAGTTTGTTGAAGGGAATACTCGCATTCCCCAAGATGCGACATCGAACGTCATTACTATCAACTCGATGTTGCCAACAAACAGGAGTGATCCTCCTTAAGCAACCGTTACCGAAGGCAGAATGTATGGTTTCCAAATCACAACAAAGATCGAAGCAAAAGTTCGAGTAGCTGGTTACCTGATCACTAGTTTGATACATGCGGCAAGTTTCGCGTAGTAGCTCAATGCTGAGAGGAAGATATTGTCTGCAGCGAATAATATCTTTG